TCGACTTCCAAAGTAGACACTGAAAACTCCGTCATGGGGCGCACACACGGGGTCCTCATGAGTCAGAATCACTGCAGTGGCAGTTGTGTGACTACCATGTGCCAGGCATTATGCTGTTCTGGGTCCCGCGCCAGTCATTGTAGCAGCAGCAAGGACAAGTCTTCCGTCTCATCGAGTCTGCACTATGGTGTGGACAGGCGGTGTACGGCAAATGAATATACTATACCAAGAGGTAGTAGACATTTTTAAAGAAGAATGAAACAGGGTAGAGGGGATGGTGCACTTCTTTTCACCACTATCCTGCATTTCTTTGTTCTCCTGGGTGGACTCTGGTGTCAGTGTGGTTACATTCCTCATGTTGTTCCAGCTTAGACTCTCATCTGGAAGAGCTGTCCTCCTCGCAGCGTTAACAATAGTCTCACTGGGTCCCCAGTCCTTCTTGAACCAAACCATGTGGTGACAACGTAGTGCTGCTATGGGCGCATGTTAGCCACTTGTGGACACCTGACCGCTTCACCAAGCGAAAAGTTGGGACGTTTTACAAGAAGTTGGGAAGAATAGGTGGTGAAGAGTTAAAATCAGACAAATAACTTTACCACAGACATTGTGGATTTCACTGAAGAATTAGTTTTTTACCCAAGAGCATAAGGTGTAGAGCAGTGGTTCTCAACCTTCCGAATGCCATGACCCTTTAATAAAGTTCCTCATGTTGTGGTGACCCCCCTAGCCATAAAATGATTTTCATTGGTACTTCATTACTATCATTTTGCTACTGTTTGTGAATCAAGCAACCCCTGTGAAGGGTTGCGACCCACAGGTTGAGAACTGCTGCTCTAGAGTCTAGGAGTTTCAATCCCACCTTTACCACGTGTTAATTGAGCAACAGTGATAGGCAGATCTATTAATCTCTGCTTCGATTTCCTCATCTGCACACTGGACTTTGTTGCAGTGGGCTTACTAAGGATGGCATGTATCTATGTATCTGTGGCCCTTGGAATACACATTGCCAGGCAGTTGATTCTCAGTCACAGTGATTGTGCAGAACAGAGTAGACCTGCCTCATAGGGTTCCCAAGGCTGTAGTGTTGACAGACAGCAGCATACTGCCACATCTTTCTCCCATAGAGCAGCTGGTGGGCTTGAACCTCTAACCTTTTGTTCAAGGGCTGAGTGCTTAACCACTGCTCTTCCATACCTCTTAGTTTGAGAATGATACCTGGCATGTTATTGACCTTCAACTGGAGGTTTTCACAATCTTCATCTCTTCCACAGGCCATAGTTCCCTTGCTTGTAAAATGAGGCATTATGGTACTCTTCAGAAGTCTTCTACAAAAATTCTTGTAATTTATAGTTAGTTAAGTACGTCTTCTCTATTTCAAGAATTACTTAACTTTTCCTGTACAGGGCCAGCTAGAAAATAGGATGCGTTTTGCCTGCTAGAAAGTCTCTGTGGCAAACAGTCAGTTCTGCCCTTGCATGTCGTGAGCTTGACCGCAGACCATGTAGAAAGGAATGAGCGTGGCTGAACTGCAGGTGACTTTGATTTACCAAAACAGGTTGAGTAGGCTGGATTTGACAAAGGACATCTCCACGCTACTAGGTGGGAAGCTTCTAGGCCATGACGCGTTACTATCAACATTCACCTGGATTTTCTTCACAATTTATGCATTAGGCCCCCAACTAAAATGTGTTAGTTTGAACGTCATTGACTTTTTCACAAGCTACCTAAGGAAATTGAAAGACTTTTCATTCTTCCCCGTATCTCTCCCTTATTTATTCAACAACTTTTTCTCTACCTCAGGAAGGAAGTCAAGAAAATGGTAGCTGCCTGGTGTTTGTTTTTCAGGCCTTCTTGTTAGGTATGTGGAGTACATTGTGATTCACAACGGAAACACTGCCCACTCCGGCACCATCCTCATCATGATGCTTGAGCCCATTGTTGCAGCCATTGTATCAATCCAATTTTTTGTTTAAAAGCCGTCATTTGACTTAATTAGGGAAGCTTTTTCTAGCCTGCTCAGACTCCAAGCTAACAGTACTTTTCGAGGAAGGTCATTAAACTGTAAACCAAAGCCAAACTCACTGCCATCAGGTGATGCCAACTCATAACAACCGTGTGGGACACGGCAGAACTGCCCCAGTGCGTTTCAGAGACTAACTTTTCTGGAGTAAAAAAGTTACTCTGCTGAGGAAGTCGTTTCAATCTGCGGATCTTGTAGTTAGCTCAACACGTGTTCACTGTGCCACCGGGGCTCCTAAACTTGGTGTACTACTTGGAAAACTCTGAGATTGTTTTTTGTTTTGTTGTGACTTTTTGGTTAATAAAGACTTACTGTTAGAAGTGACTTTATGAGAGCTTGCTTCGCAACAGTGCATTCAGTGTTAGTAGTGTTACACCTCAGAATCACGTTTTAAAATGTCACCATGCTTGTGAAAAAGACAGTTTTAATTTCCTTTCTAGAGCAGGCTTATGATTAATGAAAGACCTATGCTTCAGGTACTACTGTGCTTAAAACGGCAGATTGTGATATGAGTTTACTGTCGCAAAGACCGTGCTTGCTGTTCCTGTTCGTCCTGTTTGGTGGGTATAACAAGACCTCATTCAAGGCCATTGCCACTGTCATTAGACTTGACATTTACTTTGCTTGATTTTAGTAGGCTTGTTGGTTTACTTGTTCATTCTTTCTCTTTGGCCTTCCTCACATGACTGCCCTGTAACAAAAAAAAGTTATTGATTCAATGTAGTACTTTAAAACTGACGGACATGTTTGCAGCGTACATACAGGATGCTACTTTCACATCCATCGGCTTACATAAAGCATACAAATTAGAAAACTGAGAATTTGTGCCTTAGATGAGCAGAAAGCAAACTTGTTTTCCTTCTAACAGATTCAGTGTGAGGATAAAATGACTATATCATTTACTTATTAATTACCATTCTGAGGAATCCCGTAGTAGTGCGGACCATTAAGCAATGACTGGTTGTGGTCAAACCCAGCAGAGGCACCTTGGCAGAAGCCTGGTGACTGACTTGCTTTTGACAGGTCACAGTCTTGAAAAAGCTGTGGAACACAATTCTACACTACGGCTATGGAAACTGACCACACCACCGTTATTGTACCTGATACTGTTTTAAACAGCCTGGTGCCTCTAGCAGGTAAGGATCTGCTAACCACAAGATAAGTGGTTCAAACCCATCAGCCGCTCCGAGGGAGAAAACAGAGACTGCCTCCTGCTCCTGTAGAGATTTACAGCCGATGCAGGGTCACACTGAATTGGAATTGACTAATGGCAATAGTAACATGTATTTAATGTTTATTTTTTGTTAATTGGTTTATATTCAACCTTTACAATTTTATCAGCTTCATCTTACTGAAAATTGAGGCTTCAAGAGATAATAGAATTTTCCTACGGTCATGTAACTGTCGTGTGGTAGAGGCAGGATTTGAGTTGCTCGCTGCAGGACCTGTGTTCTTAACCATTCATTGTTTCATTTGTGCAGCGAACGGGCATTGAGCACCATTACTGTAGCAGGCACTGTTAAACTCCTTTATAAAAAATATAGAGGTGTTATTACTTGCCACTGATTCAATTCCAACTCAGGGCAAGTTCAAGTGTAGTTTTTATTTGCTTCCCTGTCTCTTTCCTCAATGGTTTTTGTAAAACCAGTTGCTTTGAATAGATTCTGACTCAGGACAATTCTATATGTGTCAGAAAAGGACAATGCTCTACAGGGTGTTCAATGGCAAATTTTTCAAAAGTAGATTGACAGGCATTTCTTTCAACAAGCTCTGAGGCCACTCAAACTGCCAAACTTTCAGTTACAGCTGAGCACGTTAACCAGCCAGGATCTCGGTAGTGTGAAGATAGGCAGACAATGGGACTGTACTGTACACACTGTTAATGTCCCCAGAGACCAGATGGTAACAGGGACAACAAAGGCACTCTAAACATCTCATCAGTGAGTGCATTTTTTCAAAAAATAGAGGAAGATAAATAAACCTGTTCCAAATAGGTCTTCCAAACCCTGATTATATTTTATTTACCTTTGAAGCATTTAAAAAAAGTCACTGAACCCTGTTCTGTTCAATTTTTATACTGTAAATACCAGGACAATAAAATAAATGGCTTCAGTGATACTCATATACTTTAGGCAAACTAAGGGGCTCTGGTGATGCAGTGGGTTAAGCATTGAGCTGCTAGTAGAAAGGTTTGTGGATTAGACCTACTGAAGAAAGATGAGACTTCTGATCCCATAAAGATTTTCAGTCTAGGAATCCTAAGAAATTTTACTCTGTCCTATAGGGTCACTATAAGTCGGAATTGATACACGAGCAGTGGATTTTTAAATGGTTTCTTTTGATGAAAAGTAGTAAAAAGTCTAAAGAAACTTCCTTTTTAAAAGTTTACTGTTTCACTGTTTCACTTTGTATTGTATTCTAATTATCACCTTGCCATCCTTCCTTTGCTCTTTCCATTTAAAAATTCACTGTCTTTTCATTGGACTTAACTTTTTGACACACTTTCAACTGTGACATTTCTCCAGTGAAAAACATATCCCAGAATTATGTCAGAATTCCAAATAGAGAAAATCGGATTCCAAGTTTATTATCGCACCAAGGAAGGCAAGAATATGTCCTGACCCCTTTCCAGTGCCGCCCTTTGTTTCCCAGACTTGCTTTGATTTTTTTTTAAACATTCATGTTAAAGGGAACAAACAAATGAAATTCTAAGATGTAAGAAATTTTTGTTTTAAAAATTATTTTATATTCTGTATTGATATTCTGTCTTGATGGGAGTGGATTTTTGGTTAATACTGAAAATTAGCATAGATGCTTGAAACATGCAAATTCCTCTCCTTCAATAAACATTAAATGAATAGGATAGAAGAATGTATTTATAACAAAACTATAAATTATTAAAATACCTATAATAAAAATGGCACCGTTAAACCCACAGCCATTGAGTTGGTTCTAACTCATCTCAACCCGGTGGGACATAATGGAACTGGTTTCTGGATCTGTCAGGTCAGTCTTTATGGAAGTAATCTGCCTTAGCGTTATCCCTAGGAGTGGCTAGTGGGTTTGAACCGCTGATCTTGTGGTCAACAGCCCAATACTTAACTCATTTTGCCACAAGGGTCCTCTTTGTATGCTGATAAAAACTGTGGCTTGAGTAATAGTCACATTTTCTATTTCTAGCGATGAGAATTTGTAAAGCTCTGGGTCTTATTTTCTTAGTCCTGCTCTAACGAATGTAAGTGGATGGGTTTTTTTTGTATGTTTGTTTTTAAGAACTCTTCTCAGTTGGAAGGCTTACTGTCTTAGATCAGACTGTCAGCTCTAGGGGAAGCTCTCTCTGTCAGCTCTGGGAGATGGTCCTTTGCTCTTCAGCTGCTGTTCCTCAGAGGCACGTATCTCCCTGCAGCATCTGTGCTTTCTTCTCTAAACCTCATCTGCTCTTTTCAGATCGCACACCTGATTGATTTGAGACACAGCTGATAAACGGTCTCATTAACCAAGCAAAGGAAACCCTATTCCCACGGGTTGAGAAGTGTGAGGTTTACAGTGCCTATTTTGGAAGGACAGTTTTCAGTTCATAACAATCAGGAAAAAGCTTCATTACAGTCTCATATACTTCCCCCCAAAAGTATGATGCACTTAATCAAATTATCTTCTAAATTTTAATTGGGTAACTATGTAAACTATGGTAATAGATGTCCTTAATTATTATTGATTAAATTGATTCTTTGTTCAAATATACATATATGTGTATACAAACACAAACCTTCTGTGAGTTGGGGGAAAGTATTCAATTAGCTGATTGTTTTGAATGTAGATTTGTGCATTTAATATCTTCAAAACTTAGAACTGTTCAGCTTTATAATATGGCTAACCCAAGTCAACTTTTTAAGCAAAACTTTACAATATTTTAGAATTGGATAAGGAAAAAGAAGCAGGCTCCTTTCATTTTTATATATGAACTTTTAACAGTACTGTTGTACTCAATATACCAGTAGCCTTAAAACTGCCAGTTCCCCCCTACCCAATTTCATCAAACTATATCTATGACATGTTTGTTTTTTATTGTTTGTGTTTTTGTTTTGTTTTTAATATTTGAACAGTGTGTGGGTTTCAACAGACCATGAAGAAATTGAGAATGTGGCCAAGCAATTTGGTGCACAAGTTCATCGTAGAAGTTCTGAAGTTTCAAAAGACAGCTCTACCTCTCTAGATGCCATCATAGAATTTCTTAATTATCACAATGGTATGAGTTTGATTAATAGTTTTATTTTAAATATTATCTATTTTTCAACCATTTCTCATCATAAGACTTATTTTAACATTTGGAATTAACAAAATACTCAGATCACCATTAACAGAAAGCTGTGGAAGTCCTGATGGTATAGTGGTTATGCATTGGGCTGCTAACCACAAGGTCAGCAGTTCAAAACCATCAGCCACTATGGGAGAAAGACAAGGCTTTCTACTCCCATAAAGAGTTACAGTCCTGGAACCTCCGTCAGTTCTGCCCTGTCCTATAGGGTCTGCTCACATAAAGAGTTACAGTCCGGGGACCCCAGTCCTACCCTGTCCTATAGGGTCTACTCACATAAAGAGTTACAGTCCTGGAACCCCGTCAGTTCTACTCTGCCCTATGGGGTCTACTCCCATATAGAGTTACAGTCCTGGAACCCCGTCAGTTCTACCCTGTCCTATAGGGTCTACTCACATAAAGAGTTACAGTCCTGGAACCCCAGTCAGTTCTACTCTGTCCTATGGGGTCTACTCCCATATAGAGTTACAGTCCTGGAACCCCAGTCAGTTCTGCCCTGTCCTATAGGGTCTACTCCCATAAGAGTTACAGTCCTGGAACCCCAGTCAGTTCTGCCCTGTCCTATAGGGTCTACTCCCATAAGAGTTACAGTCCG